TGTTACTGCCTATCTACAGTGTGCGTATCTTGCACGCATTACCTTCACGAGTTGTTTTGTTTTGAATGCTTGTAAATCATTCACAGCAAACATGATGTGATTTCCATTAAGTTATGTCCTGAGGTAACGTCATGGTCACCGGTGTCCACCTGGTGCGACGCCGCAGTGCCCGCCCTCCCAATTCTGACACAACTTTAGTCTAGTCGAATTACCATATTGGTTCTTGGCAAGTGAATGATTCAATATTGTTAAAGGCATCACGATCTACAAGCTACAATCTTTGCAGCGGTCCCGCGACCCAGAAGCGAGAAACTTTGCTCCGACGAGATTGACTCGAAGAGCGGTGGAGAAATCACCAACTTATCCGAATTGAAGATCGTCAGGGAAAGCGGCGCGGAACGACGTAGCTGCGGGGTGTTGTGTGCCGAGTATGTATATGCCATCTAGGTTGCTCTTCCGTACCAAGGACCTTTTTCCATTGTTCCAGCTGACTGGCTACTAGCGGAATTTTTCTCGGATTCTGGTTGTTCGTGATCGAGAGGCGATCATTGGCTGTATCCGAATTTGGTGTCAGATGGGTCATTCGATGTAGTCCCGGCAAGCGGAACACGAGGAACTCGAAAACAGCACTTTGGAGTGTATCCCCGCTCATGCCTGGTTTCTCGAGGTCATGGTCCCTCCCAAACTTCCGAACCTATTAGCGTGTCACTCGTACACACGAAATGGGTGGGTTTGGGCTCAGCAACAGTGTGTTCTGCAGTAGACCTGGAAGGGTATCAGCTAGGAGTGACGGATGTCGTATCTCGAGGACTCACCTGGTGGTGGCGCGAAATGAGAATGCTGATCGGAGATTATACACTTGTACGGACTTGTACTACTATAACTAAGTTGTTCTCCGAATCATGCATTTATATTGATCGGTAACAAATGTATACTGCCCATCTAGCTCAATTGGATGACCCGCTGATTGCAATGTGGATTGTAGCTGCGAGTTCGACTCTCGCGGTGGGCTAATTGGTTTTTATTTTTTATGCCCTCCCACGCCCCGACGCCGTTGTGTCCACTTCGTCTTCACATCCATCCTCGTCAATGTCAACGTCTGCACCCGTCGACGACGCTGCAGAAGGTCCAAGATTAGGACTGAATTGAGCCCGGAACGTCATCGACCTTCTGGCCAAACGGGCGGAGACTCTATTGCAGATTGCAGTCCTTGTCGATCCGCTTTGCCAATGGTGTCGATGATGTTTAGTCAACCGCCACATGCTACGCGAGGCACTGGCAACACCCCATTCCATTTCCACCAACTTGACGATGGTGCTGACAAGAGCAACCACGAAGAGAATTGAGTCAGGGCAAGGGCCGCCGCCTGACACTGCCGTTGTTCCATCACCAGCAAAGAATCCTCGACGAGACGGTGCAGAGTCTTCCAAGAAACGGCAACGAGGAAAGCCCGGCGAATTATGTAAGTCAACTGAACCTCGGCGTCTTGTTTCTCGTACGTCAATTTTGCCTTCTTTCGGACGTAGTGGTGAGAGATTGCCTTTTGGATCTCCTGAACCTTGCACGTACATGCAAATCTCGTGTTTTACACCCGCTGCCTCGTACGTATAGATCTCTGATGGTTTGAATTGGTCTAAGATACGGAATAGGCTGTGGTAAATATGCTAAAATGATTCTTTGGTCGATACGGCGTAGGTATTGTCCAGATTGCAAAGGCAGGTGGTAGGGTCCAACACACGCTTCAACATGGCTTTAATCTCTCAACTGAAACTAGGCTCCGCTGTCGTTCCTCGTGTCCCGATGTCATTCGCAACATTGATGTCCTTCCCGTGGAAAGTCTGGTAGTAGATGGCGGTATGTGGCATTGTAGTTTGAACCATCACGCTACTAGACCACACCGCAGCGAAAGGACAATGGATTGACAAAGAGCAGGTGGACTCGTTTATGCGCGAGTATGATTGCTCCTCCGACAAGAATCAAATTTTACGCGAGAAGCGCCGCCAATGTCATACTATAGTCAATGTTCATTTGGTTTTCCCCCCTCTTTCGTGTTTCTCCTGATCCACGTTTAACAGCACGCAACTGAATGCAGAATTTGGGAAGAGGACATAGCTATGGATTTCCGCCGGCTAGACCGAGAGGAAAGTATAGTTTTATATTTCGACGGTCATGATTACTTATCAAGTTGTTCTCATCGTAGTATTTTCGAGCTTCTTAAGCAGCATGGATCGCGTACTTTGGACTTTATGAAGACCAACAGTCGTATTTCAACACATCCAAGCCATTCACTGATGAAGGTCAGCATCCACCGCCTGAGATGAGTTTGACTGGGTATTGATTACTCTGATAGTATGGGCTCAGATGTCGCCCGAGTTGCTCGAAACCACGAACAACTTCAGGTCTCAACGATTGGAAAAGACTGTCTACCGACCACGTCGAGACTTACTGGTGTCCACACCGTCCTTTGACCTCCTTCCACACTTCACCAACCTTGCACGTTTTACCCCCTTTCGAGACATCATCTACGCTCCGGAAGGAACTGAAATGGGTGCGAAGCCATTTGAATCCGCGTTTGCACAATTGCCTGTGTTGGTTGACGAGTGGAATCGATGCTGAATTTGCCAAGTTAGTCAAGATTCCCTCCCATTCTTTCAAACGTGCTTCCGGTAGTCAGGGCGTGGCATCAAGCAATGCAACACCCATGGTGCCATCTCAGACACCCACTGACAAACTACGCCTGGCCTGCGCGGTGTTCGGTAGTAGTCACACTGTTGCTTGTTATCCTGAGGTGCTTTTTCACCTCCCTCATGTCACAGATCCGACAAGAATGCCTCGCTTTCGCAGGTTGTAGAAGCCCCCATCATTTCCTGGAGTGCACATAGTGTGAAAGGGCACGACCTAGATACAGCCTCAGGGAGTAAGTACTTATCCATGTCAGTACAGTAAGAAGCAAAGGAGTGTGGCTAATGCTTACCTCCAGTCGAGTAGGTATGAGACTGGAGGGAAGAGGAAGAGGATGCAACGCTCAGATAGACATGTTGGTGTCCTGGACCATAAAAGAAAATGTAGTGAATGTAGTAAAAGAAAGAAAGAAAACTGTATCTACGGGCTGTTCTCCAACACATAGGACCCTACCGATCACAAACATCCATCGCACGTCACATCCGAGCGCGTTTTGCTGTGCGTTCACGTTGATCCGCTCAGCGTCTGATCAAAGGCCCGTGGGACTATTTGCGCAGCCACTTCAAACAGTACCAACGTGACCGAATCAGACTGATACCCCTCTTCACTAACTTTTACGATGGTGCAAACAAGAGCAGCCGCAAAAATGGTACAGTCAGGGAAAGGGGAAGACATCGTCATTCCCTCACCAACCAAGAAACGTCGAGTGGACGGGGCAGAGTCTTCCAGGAAAAAGCATCGAGGAAAGCCAGGTCAACTACATATGTCAGTTGAACCTCAATGTATTGTTTCTCGTACGTAGATGTTGCCTTCTGTCCACTGCTTGCTGATGGACTGATGGTGTTAGATTTCCGCATATATTCACCCTTTGGATCTCCTGAACCTTGCATGCATGTGCAAATCTCTTTGAGAACTCTTGATGGACAAATCTTCAGCGTTCGTCTGGAAGACTGCTCGTCGCCAAGTAGAAGGCCTTTCTGACTGCCCAGCTGACTTGACCCAATCTGAATATGCAAATCTCTTGTTTTACGCCCGTTGCCACATACACACAGATTTGCTTGATGGTTTGAATTGATTGGAGTTGTGGAATAGGGCTGTGGTAAATATGCCAAAAAGATTCTCTGGGAAATACGCCAAAGGTATTGTCCTGATTGCAGACGCACGTGGTAGGAATAAGTGAATGCTTACTGTTATCTCCGAGTTGACAAACAAAACTAGCCTTTTCCGTCTTTCCCCCTCCGCCCATGACATCATTTGTCGTATCATCCCCACAGAAAGACTCGAAATGGATGGCGGTAAGTGGCATTATATTTTGAACCATCACACTGCTGAACCACACCACAGAAAAAGGAAGGTGGGCTGACAAGAGCAGTTTGACTTGTATACGTACAAGTACAATTGCTCCTCTGACAAGGATCAATTTTTGAGCAACAAGCGGCGTCAATATTCCGCTTTATTTGAGGTTCATTTGACTTTTTCATTTTCATTTTCTGCCTTGATTGACTTCTAACAGCATGTAAGAAAATGTGAATGCTGGGAGGAGTATGTCGCTGTAAAATGGCAATCCTGTCTGTGTTAGCAAACAGGATGCAAAGAATTGTCAAATCTGGAAGTCAGTTCGATGTCTCTGAGCTACTCTGGGCACTCCTGTCTGAGTCTGGGGACCTTGACCAGTGAGTCCATCTGGAGTTAGCCTCGGAGTTACAGGACTCGGTTCCAGAGTTCCGGACTTTTCGCTTGGACTCTTCCTTCTCGCTTATCCTTTCTATATATCCATTTGGGGATCACTTAGGTTGATACAAGTGCATCTCCGCCCATATG